CTGAGCCACTAAGGCTTCACTAACAAGCCACTAAACTCTCACCTTCAGCCACTAACCACCTGACTGAGCCTAGGCCCTCTTCCTACGGCCGTACAGCTCCCACACTACACCACACTGCTCAGCCACCACACAGATGCCACGACGACAAAACACTGGAGCTGCGAGTCTGGAACACCGGAGCGCAGGAACTCGGAACTGGAACCACCACCCCGACCTTACGTCCGACCCTTTTATTGGGCCCTCCAGCGCGATTTGTTCCCTCCGCAGTGGTCTCTTTGACTCCCTGCGATCAACAAATGCCGCTCCTTTACGATCTACTTGGTTTAGACCAGCTGATCTACAGCTGATCTTTGGGGCCAGCATATCCCTGCTGACATGCCCCCCCTCGCCGAAGTCGATGCCCCCATCGACCGCTTGACGCTTGGCCGTGGCAATTCGACCCGTAGCAAATGGCTTCCTTGTGTTTCTTCCTCGCATCCAACTTCTGCGCCTCCGCGCAACTTCGGACGCCGAGCTTCTCTTACAAGATCATGTTTAACTTTTCGCTTACTTTTCCCATTCTTAACGTAATCTCCCGCGTCCGTATCTGCTTTGTCTTTCAGTGAGCGGTGACTGAACGTTTGTTTCAGAAGGCGGTTTCTCCAAGTTTGCATCTCGCGCTGCAGTTGCACTCCACTGATTCACTCTCCCGACTATGAGAACTTCTTGATCATGCACATGCACCCGAGCTGCGCCATTGAGTCGGTACGTGCATGCGCCTTACCACCGTTGCATTGTTCTCGCCTTCATTTTCCATACCTGCTTACTGCTTCTCTTTTTATCCCCCAACAATGGAAACTAACTACACCCTGAATTTGCTGAGGCATATTCCTAATATGATCTTGCCGTTTATTTGGGCTAATGTAAAAACGGCACAATGTCCCGATTCCCTCCTTCCAACGGGCCTCCACGTAACTGCACCAACGGGCTGCGCCTTTAGCCTAAAATCTCCACAGGTATCTACACTGATCATTGAACCTGTGTCTAGTAGTGCTGGACTGCTGCCTCCCCAGCAACCTCAACTGCTTTACTCTGCGGCCACCAATCAGGCCTGTAATTTCCACCATTCTTCTTACCGTCATTCCAGGGTCCGTGTCCTGTTTGATATATTCGACACGGTCTGCCTTTAGCCTGAGGGTTCACCCTTGCTGACTGTTGCGGACAAATCTATAGCATGTGCCGAATTTCGAGACCTGTATACACCTTCTATTTTCAACGCTTCCCTGCGAGGAGCACTGCTGGCCAATATGATATGCCCTTGTCAGTGTAGACTCTCCGTTGCTATTGGATCTGCCATGATATTCGACTTCGCAATTATTTTCTCTTATTTAGAACTCCTCTCCAAAGTCCTCAGATCATTGTGAAAAGACTATATTTCCTAGAATGCTACTCATATTACCGTATACTTGAATCGCGGCTCTTTTTCCCATGCTTCACCCGTCGCTTCCGCTTGCTCCAAAACATATTTAACTGCTCTAACTCATGCTATTGCTTGACTTGCCTCAGTATGCCTGGCAGGATACCACGTGCTGTGCAAAGCACCTACCAACTGGAAGTGTTCCGGCCAATACTGAGATTACAAGTGAGAATTTGGCGTATTTCAACGACCTGTCCTGCCATCGTACAAGCCTGGATTTGCCTTCCTCCTAGTTCTCTCAAGGTGATACAGAAACTGCGCCACCTCCTGCTCCGATCCATTTTCAGATTACCTACAGCTCTGTGAGGCTCTAACCTTCCGCCGGCGACTGCTGCGACAAAAAGCTGCCATTGCTGAGATGACTCTATATCTAAACCTGTTCCTTAACGCCGAGGAAGGCTGTGAAACGCCCTTGTCTTCGACCCTAGATGATCACTCACGCCAGAATTTCTAGCAAGGCGTCGTCAACTCTATGACCGTGCTTCAATATTTCTCCTAATCGTCTCAACGAACTTTCAAAAGCTCTCATTTCTTGCACAGTGAAGACCCACTGGTTGCGCAGGCTCTTGAGCTAAAAGTAGGTCAGCAGGTCTGAGATACCGGCCGTCATCTCGATCTTCCCCGTCCGCGCCAGGCCGAAGCCGCGACGAGAACATAGCCAGGTATGCCATCCCCTGTCCTGTCGATGGACTTGTCCTCCCTTGAACACAGTCCTCCGTCATCCTACCTTGGGTTAGCCCATCGTGTTTTCGGTTGACTCCTTTTTACTCCTCCGACGTCATCTGAGAGCAGCCCTATTTCGCCTTACAACTGACCACACTCTTGTCCTCAGCGAGTGTGCAGAGAGTAGTCGCCGAGTGTGCCCCATCTTGCCTCTCATACTTCTTAAATTACTCGTTCCAATGCCTCGGCAATTCGCATCCCCTGACTCAGGGTTCTGCAATTTCTTTCTCCAAGAACGAAGGCAATGCTTCCCTCGCTTGATTTTCTGCCCCATAATTCTCCTATGAAGGCAAATAACTCTCAGTCCATATGTCCCTGTCCACCTGCTGCTTGCCTGACTAAATTCTAGATTCCCAAGAACCTCACTGGCTTTTCGGTTTGGGCTCACGAGATTTCGAGACAACGTCTCCCAGCATGTCCCCTTTTTCTATCTTGAGTTCATTAAGATTTCACAGCTTCCTCAAGCACCTATTCTCCTCCCCTACTCTCACCTCCATGTCGGGATCTCTACTTTTTTCTAAGCGGTTCTTTCTTACACTCTCTGTCAGATCTCTGCCGGCTCCTCCTTCGTCTGGATGTCGTCCTTTGATCCCTCCTTCCGAAAACTCTGACACTGTCCTCTTGCACATTTTTGTTACTCGCTTGGTCGCAGTTCGTGCGGCCGCGGCCCCCATGTAGTGTAGGATGGATGGATTCGTTTTACTGCGACGCGAGAGTAACAACTGTGTTCGAGACAAGTAAGAAAGGAAAGTTTATGAGCGAAAGAAAAATCAACAATACAACAAAAATTAATAACGATCATAGACGCTCGAGGCCGACTGTTGATGGCTGACTGGAGGACCCTTGCGGGACGTCCGCCACGCACGGACGCAACCCTATTGTGAGATAGCCGCAAAGGCTTTTTCCTCTTGAGCCACTGAGCTCTTCCCAACTGCGCCACTGAGGCCCAAATCACCGAGCCAGGCAGGTTCCTCTCTCTCGGGCCACTGAGGCCATAATAAACGTGAGCCACTAATGATTCACTAACAAGCACTAAATCTCTCACCCGTCAGCCACTAAGGCCACCTGACGGAGCTAGTGCCCTCTGTTGCTACGGGCCGTACATGCTCCCAACTGTACACCACACTTCTCAGTGGCCCACCACCAACAGATGCCACACGACAAGAGACACGGAGCCTGGAGCGCTGGAACACCGGAGCACAGAAACTCGGTCGGAACTGGAACCACACATCCCCGACCGTTTACGTACCGACCCTTTTATTGGGCCGCTCCCGCGCGATTTTGTTCCCCTCCGCAAGGTGGTCTCTTTGACTCCCTGCGATCAACCAAATGGCGCCTCCTCTACGATCTACTTGGTTTTACGACAGTTATCTACAGCTACTCCTTGGCGCCAGCCATATCCCTTGACGAGTAAGCTTGTGTACGAATTCGATGTTTATGTCAAGTGGCATGTTGAGCGAGGACACCCACACCGCCAACGCCTCTGCTGTCGCTATGTTCCAAGGAACAGTTCTGTCTCCAGCACGGAAAACGCTTCGTGTAGCGGGCGTGCCTTCTCGTCTCCGGTCAGTCCGAGGACGTCACGTACTTATTCTTCCTGGCCTGCATCATCGAGCTCCGATGTGAGCTTCAAGATGCAAGCGTTCGCTGCGTTGAAAGTACATATCGCATCTTATCCTTCTTCGTTTAGCAGCCTATCCGGCCTGAGGATTTCTAGCTAGCTCTCTCCGGAGACGTTCCTACCAAACGCTGCCGTATTGGGGGCTCCCTCAGGTTCAGAATGAGGCCCATCCATGATTCTGTTGTGACGGCATAAAATGAAGTCACACAGTAGCTTGCAGGCTCTGCAGTGCTGGCTAGGATAGACCTCAGGTGTTTAGCCACCCCGTATCCTGGTTAGTCGAACAAGGGGCTGATTTCTTGGAGGCGCCCGAATCGCCTCCCATTGGACTTGCCCCAATCACTTATGAATGCAAGCTTTTGTTTGCCGACATGCAGGACCAACGCGCGCACATCAGAGCGCACCATCACACGCAGCATGCATGGATGCGCCTGTGAGTGGATGACAGCTGGGTAGAATCAACACAGCACTGCAATAACAGGGAGTCCATCCCCTTGAATCACCTGAGGAAATCGGCCGAGGGGATTGCCGTCGTCTCCAACCACGCCCACCCTGCCTGGACTGTTGCTTTAAGTGAGCAAGGTAGGTGAGAAAGACATGAACACGGATGATGATTGCGAGAGCGACCAAGCTCTGCGTGCATTTGATACCAATAAAAATAAGCTGAAGGATTTTTTCCAAGAAATCACTCGCAAACATCAAATGATTACGTCTAGTTATCAACTCTCTTTCAGATGCTCGAAGACTTGTTGAAAAACCCGTCTCAAATCAAGGACATGGTCCCTTTCATTGTCGGTCTTCAAGAAGGCGAAAGTCGCACAAATACCAGTTGGGATTACAGCGATTTATTCCATTGGGCTGCATTTGAGGAAAAGCCTTTGGTTTTAGAGTAAATTTATATTTGTTTCTAGTTACTAATACTTTCCTCACACTCCGTACTCCATGCGCCCTTACCCGCATTTATTTTAGACGTGATCTCCATAAATGGAACGATGTTGTGCTGGGAAATTGTTTCACTTTCAACCACAGAAGCAGCTCGCTGGATTATAAAATGCGTTCGTCTGGTGTCCAAGGCGGTCAGTTCATTTATTGGTTTGTGTTGCATAACTTTTTTGCTGGAATTTTGACGGATTTTGATAATTTTTTTCATCGATACTATTATCAAAATGACTCCAAAGCACGTAGCGCCACTGTACTAATGGGTTTTCCTTTATTGTCATCGTTATTGACTGTACATAGGTTTACAAGTGTTGATGAGCGTTGGATCTTCCGAATACGCTCCATGGTTCGATACAGCGGCAATTTTGGTGTTTGTTCACAACAAGAATGAGTACGTGTTCTCGGAGTCAGTGCGTTACAGTGCACAACCAGATGGAGAGACTCTGATCCAAGTTCGAGATGTAAGTAAATCACTCATGAAAAATAAAAATATCAGGAATTGAGAGTATTTGTTGCAAAAAAACTAGGTGATGCGGGTGTGAAAAACATTCTCGTTGAGAATTTTTTTAGCCTCGTTTGGTCAGGTAAACATACAATGAGTTCGTATCGAAGCGGATACGCTAGGATAGGAGCCCGCCACTAACGTTCCATTGGTTCGGAGAAAGGTGGCACGGTAAATTTTCCACCATGGGAAATAAAAGTAGAGATGCCGAGTGTTGCAGTAGTGGTTGGGGGGCAGGAAGAAACATGAAACCGTCCAGGGGGACTGTACATTAACGACAGCACAGATTTGGCTTTTTTCCGCTGCGTGAGACGCCTGGCGCGTAAACGCGTCAGTTTCCACCATAAGTTGCGTTTCCCGGAACTCACAGCTGAAAAGCAACAAGAATGGATGCAACACTAGCCTAAGGAGGTCTGTACCCTCTCAGCGACTTTAGGCATCAGTGACACTAGTGCGCAATAAGGAATCAGTGAGCCTGGGAGGTATAGCCAGCTCGAGGGATGAGGAAGGAGGGGGATCGGGCGATTTGAATGGCCCGCGTGGAAAGCTGGAATGTGCATGGTCGCACTAACAAGGGAGGTCTTTCAGGACATGGAGCGTTTTTTCAAAATGGTTCTCTGCATATTGCAGGGGCTCGTGCGGGGAGCGCAGAACCATGATCCATTTTTCCTGAACTCCTTCAGAAATGTCAAAACTGTGGTGAAAAAATGATCCAGAGTTCGGTCCCCGGTGACGACTAAATTTTGCAATATGGTTTGGCGTCTCCAGATTGCCGCCAAATGGCGCTATCGTCGAGAATAGGTATCGCTGTCGCGTTTTGCAGCAATTAGGAAGCGTCAACATAAATTGCGAAAATTTGCCATCAAGGAGGATCGATTTTGGGACCCCGCTGTTTTGATATCCCTGCGGGCGTTCAGGAAAAATGAACCACGGATCTGAGTCCCTAACATGAGCCTCTGCAACATTCAGAAAACCATTCTGAAAAAAACGCTCTATATCCTGAAAGACCCCCTTGTAAGCCTGAATAAATGACTCCCAACTGGAGGTGATCGAGTCACCGATGAACGTTAAGCATGAATGCTCTTCAAGTCAATAGCTGTCAGAATAACTAGCTAATGCTTTGAAACGAGTCAGCAGTAGAAAGTATTCAGGATGTTACACACCTTCGCCTGAAGAACACGATCTTTTTTGCAGTCTCAAAAAAAAATAAAAAGGTTTAGCTTGTAAAAAATTTTTTCGTATCAACTTCTTCAGAGAGAAACACGAGTCGTGATCCATCTTGATTCTTTGACATTATCGTATCATATTGTTGTTTGCATTACCGCTTCATTTTCATTCACTTGTTTACTCCAAAATGGAAGTCAGAGTTGGATTAAATTGGAAATTTAGTTAAGAAGTTGAGAAGCATTTTTGAGCCCTCCGTGGACCACGCCGCTTATAGGCATGATAATGTATTGCTCATATAACAGTAGCTCGTCGCTCACCCCCTTGCAGACCTTTTCTCCCCTAGTCGTAAGGACATTTCCTTTAATGGCCAATTTATCGTGCCACTACCTTTACTGCATGTACTATTTCTTTCTCATAGATATTATTTAACTGCTACGCCATCAAAGAAGCATCACTTCACGTCGGGATCTGCAACAATGATCCTCTGCTTTTCCGTCACTAATTTCTCCATTACAGACAAAATACACACGCCTTGCCGGCAGATATGGAGTCTGCGTGAAGGACCCATCTGAAGTGAACGCCTATTACTATGACGGAATGTACACAACAGACGTTAGTTCTGCGATTTGTAATGAAAACTTGCAATGAGACGTCGTAACTCCCCTTAGAATATTAAATAAGAATGAAAATGTTTTGCCTCAAAATCAATTCATTGGATCGGAAGATGGTCACAGTATTTGGCATCTGAGCGTACGGTCGAGACAGCGGCAACATTTTTAACTTGTTGCTATAAGTTGCTAACATTCCACGATTAGCGATGTCCTTTTTTACGAAAATTTTTCCACCACTATACCATGATTGGATATATCTGCTCCATTCATATTCATGTTTCAATTTTCCTTTCAACTTATATAATCCTGTAGAATTTTGGGCTTACGTAATAGTTCTGTCCAAACAATTAGAATGCTAACATTACTCGAGAAATTCCCTCTGAAAACGCCGAAAAAATCATATTAGGTGATGTGCATCGTACTCAGTTACGACTGATTTCAAACGCTCCAGCAGTTTTCCAATTTTCGACTGGAAAACTTCGTGGGACCGTTGTAAATTGCCATAGACTGGGAGTCAAAAGTGCTGAACATCGGCTGATAATGAAAGGCAAGACAGTGGGATAACCCTGGCGTCAACGGTGACTTTACTACATTCTTAGCAAAACTCGCATCGCCCATGGACTTGAACCATGTAATGCAGCATATCATTAGTGCGACCTTTGTCACTGCACCGCAAATAGTTTCTGGTTCGAAAAGAATTGTAGAAGGCAGGAATAACCTATGAGGGTTGCAAAACCTCATGCATCCAGAGCACTGGTTCTCTGACCGATTCAACGCGAATACAGACCGAACCCGCTGCGTCAATTGACATTTCGGTGCCGCGGGAACATGCCCTAAATGGTTGTACGAGCGGTATGCTCCCACGACCACTAGCAGACGAAGTTATAAAACCATCAATAAAAGGAATACAACACTAATCACCTTATTGGCACATAGTTATCTATTTTAGCTGTAGCTCCAGTGGCGCTCTCGCCACTCGTACCCTCCCCAGATACCACCGACACTCCATTCCCAACCGCTCTGCCCTCCCACGGAATCAATAGATACGGCAGAAATGTAGAAGGTTGCGCTGACGGTAAATCAAATGTACCTTCAAGGGCATTTTAGTGTCGGTCAGCGCGACGCTCTGCCTCTTTAGCTGCCCCTTGTCCTTCCCCTTCCTTTGCCGGGTACCGGTCTTAGGTCATCTTGTTGAATGGCCAGCAAGTATGACATAGACCTCGCCCTCTATCTGGGATCAGCGAGGGCTTGCCTAGTTTCCCGACGTTTTCCAAGCGCGGACCAATACGAGTTCAACCTGACATACCTTGTGGCCACCTATAGACTGGCCGTTTAGCCCACTTTACTACCGTCCCTGGTCTAGAGTTGAAGAGGTAGTTTTTAACCATCGAATTCTTACTAGGTAACTGAATTCAAAAAAAAGACTCGGGGTGTTAGACAGTCCGCTTAATTTCGCTTCTTGACCTTCCATTCGCGGACCTGCGATTCAGTCAGATAACAAGAAATATCAAAACAAGACAATGTTTTCTACAGAGCAAACAATTCTCTTCCTAGGGCTGTTGCGTGAAAACATCAGATCTTAGAGGAAAAACTTTGATTCGGAAAAAAACGACACTACTCTTCGGAAAACCTAGTACAAGTAGTGGCTCTGGCCGTGCGCGAATGGTTCGGTTGCCGCATAAAACGCCTCCTCTAAAATCATCCTGATTACACGTGTCAGTTCCTCAACAGAGCATCACTCTTAGCTCTCACCGGGAGACATTCGTTCTGAAGTTTAAACATATCATACATTTCACTTGCAGGGATGTCTCCGTTCATGTTACCAGGATATGATCATGAAAGAGTGCGACTGTATGGACCCACGATATCCAGTGGCGCCAGATACTCCCACATGTGTGCTCGCAAAAAGTACTGAATTGGCGACAGCTTGATGTGCTCAAGTAAAAAAAACGTCAATTGTTGGTGGATGCTTTCATTAAGACAATGTATTCGACGAGCTGTCGTAAAAAGGAGATCCCGGGCTGTGGGACTTTGCATGTCTGCCGTTGCCTGCTCAATAACAGTATGCGGTCGAATGGCATAGAACATTCGTATCGAGGTTTTTTTTGCGGTTTTGTAATACGAACGGCGGGTTTTTATTCAAAAATAGTTAAATAAGGCCGATGTCTAGTTTGCGAATGAGCGATTCCGATTGAGCGATGCGGCTCGATTAGCCAAACTATACATGCGGCTAAAGATGGTTCAAAAGGATACTCTACTTTGCAGACAGTCGATGCATGGAATGCGCGATGAAAACGTGTACAGCTTCTGCCAAGGATGACGTATCTGTTACCTAACTTACCTCGTTTAGAGTATGAGGTTGTTACGGAGGAAGTGCGAATATGGATGTAGTTTCCAAAAGCGCTTTGATTCAAGAAGATACCTGGACACTCGCAATTTCAGCTTATAGCTTTCTTTTCGAATGGAGGTCTTAGTCGTGTGATTATGGTGTGTTTTGTAGCTATTCATTCATTAGAATTTGGTGTGCTGATATTCAGATTGATATTATACGTTTTCAGAATAGTATGCTCCAGCCCCAGTGTAGTGTTTTGCATTTCTTCGTGTTTTTTAGTTGTCGCTTTGTTTGCATCAGATATCAATGGTTTTGATAATGGCGTCTAGGGAGGTTTTTCGTGTTTGCAAGGAAATTGGAACACTCAGAAATGCGCAGTAGAATTTAGATCTACGCGTTCTTCATATTTGTTTTGGTAAACTCACAACTCCCTTCCTTAAAAGTGTGTTGTTTTGTGTGGAAGTTAGTCCTTAGCGGTTATCGGTGGATACTGTAGTGTGACGAAATCATTCTCACCTCTCGGGATTGTGCTGTGGGATGATCTCTGGTTATATTGCTTAACATAACGGACGGCCAGTGTATTGGTTTATGTTTAGGCTTATGTGAAAGCAGGGGTAAGACGGGCTAAGTAGGTGTCGGAGTTTTCTATCGAAAAGAGATTCGTTGACGACAAGTTCGTGCCCGTCCTTTCAGATCTAATAGGGTGGCAAAAGTGTTTGGAGCGTAAGGTGACAGTTATCGAAAATTGCGAAAATTACCCCGGAGCAAGGATGTGTGGTATTTTAGGGGAGGGGTTGGGACCGTGGAACATGGGTAGACCATCGAATATAATTATGTAATTAAACAATTCATTGTAGGTGTCAAATCAGCGTCAAGGTCTGGAAGATATGTTATTCCACATTGCTGAGAGTATATATGGGTATAATAAGATTGCTGAAACATTTTAAAAACAAAAGAAATAGTCGTGCGCTACCTTGTGGCGCACGCCGTCCGTTATGGGTTAAGCTGAATATTGACCAACGTCGATGTGTACAAAACAAGCAAAATGAAGCAAGTGTAAAAATGTTCGAGTGTGGAGCTATCGTTACAGAGCCAATAATTTTTCGACTATTCAACAGAACAGTAGGCACAGGGGCGCCTACGTGTCAGGCCACGCAATGAGAGAATCGGGTTAGAGCGCGTGATTTCTGAGAGTAGAGACAAATCGATCGATAGAATAGAATATGGCATAAGTGTAGGATGTGAATGCAATAAAGCAGAAGGCCAGAAGGAGTTTCTAGTGGAGGCACTCCAAGAACCAAGTGGAAGCATCCCCGTTGCCAGCATCTGTGAAAGATGTCTGTGGGCACTTTGAACGCGTAGCAGCTCTTTCGGTTTTTCGGATTTTTTTACCAGAACAAATTTTCTGTTCTTTTCATTCTTATCGTGGATGCCAGTGAATTATGGCTGAAATCGAATCATGATTTTTTTGTGAAGGATTCCTTCAAAGTGCTTGGATGAAGGAATCCTGAGGTGGAATGTTGTTGGCAAAGTTTGAGTACATGCGCATGCTCATGCAACAACAAAGGCCGCAAAGTGGGTTTGATGACGAGTGATACGATGTGCATTGTTGATGCCAACCAGCAACGTAGACTCCCACAGAAATAAGTGCTCGGTATAGAACAGCCACGTGTAACTTCTTCAAAGAATTCTTTTCTGCCCTTTCATTCACAAAAAACCGAGACAGCAGTAAATTTTTCTCCTACTACTATAAGTGAACACTTCTGGACGCACAACCAACAATGAACATAATGTTTTTTACAATGTTGCCATTGGTTTTTATTACGCTTTTGTACACTGCAGCCGCGACATACAGTACCGTGCAATAAAGCATTCGTTTTCACTTTTTCGATTGTAACTTCCTCAAAGCGTCAGGTTTTGCTCCGATTTTTTTTACTGTTAATGTCAACTAGACATGATAAGAGAGCGGATTTCGGTTGTCTAGGTGATTTGGAAAATATTTTAGGATTTTAAACTTTTTTTGGTCAGACACCATCATTCTTATTTGGACTCTGACCTATCTAATTTTCCAAATTAACAACACAGCAGCCTGTGTAACAACAAATGTAACAACTACAACTTCAGTGCCTTGTTGTAAAACCTTTGACGTCCTGACATCTGCGTGAGATGCACTCGATGAGCTCCTGGATGTTCTCCCATGCCGTCCTCAGTTGAACGAACTTTTCGCGCTTGCTGTGAGCCCTAAGACCTTTCTTCCCACAGATGTTGGATAGGATTGAAGTCGGGGGACTGCGATGACCACAACAGCGAAGGGACGGTACCACTCAGTGAGCAGTTAGATTTGTGCTTTGGGTCATTGTCCTGTTGAAAAATGAACTCACTTCGGGCAGTATAGCGAACATACGGCCAGTCGAGACAATCTCAGTAATGTTGAGGTACATTTTAGAATCCACGTCACACTTGATTCGATGAATGGGACCGACTCCCGTGCTACAGAAGCGCCGTGCACCATCACCGCACTCTCGCCACTCTCCACAGTCGATAGCTTACACCCTGGATGGTGTCTGGTGCCAACGGGACGTCGCCCAAACTTGACTACATCCGTCACAATCAGCAAAAACTTTGAATCATCACTTCAGATAACCTTTCGCCACTGCCGAACAGTCCAGTTCTTGCAAACAGCCCATTCGAGTAGCGCCTTGCAGTTCTAGAAGGAGATCAGCGGTGTGTTAACAGAGCGACTTCTCAACAGACCATCTTGGCTTGAACTCTAGGGCGTTGATAATTCTCGGAGAGTGTCGGCTGCAGTGAGGCGCAGGCCACTCCTTGCAAGCGGCACAATGTTTCGGCGAGATGAGAAGTCATTCTTGCTGCCAATAAGTGTTTTCTGATCTTGGCGAACCTGCTGTCCTTGTATCTCTCCCGAATCGCCTGAACACATCGCATTGAAACTCCTTGAATTTTGGAAATTTGCCTAATTGTAAGCCTTCGTGGCAGCTCCGAATGATGGCGTCAGCCCTGTCCTGCCGAAAGTGTGGCAAGACGCCAAAGGTTTTATAAAAAAGTACTGAAGTTGCAGCTGTTACATTTGGTGTCACACAGGTTGTTCCGTTGTCATTCTAAAATTAATTAAAGTTCGAACAAGAAAGATTTGACCGAAAAAAAGTTTAAAAATTTCTAAAATATTTTATAAGTCACCTAGACAAATGAAAACCCGCTCTCTCATCATTTCCAGTTAAGTGTGTTAGAAGCGAAAAAATCGGGGGAAAAGCTTGAGTTTTGATGAAGTTACGTTCGAAAAAGTGAAAACGAATACCTCACTGCACGGTACCATGTTTTATACTCTATATTTTGATTAAGATTTACCTTTATTTTGCTTGTTTTGGCGTTATCGAAAAGGTCAGTATTCAGCGTAAGCAATTAAATGGGGTCATCCCACATGCGAGTCTGAGTAGTGAGAAGTGACCCTTCGTGCACTGCAGTAATCCCCCAATTACGCTGCCGGCCTAACATCCAAGCTAAGTACCTCCACCCCTCCCAAGCCAGAGTTGCTTTTGGGGTATTGACCTCACCTAGTGTGTTTCATTGATTGCTGTCCTCGCAACAATATCAGTCAGAATAAATACAAGTGAAAGTAATAAATAAACAACTTTATTAGACAAATAAATTAAAACCGGAATTCATTACGATGGAAGTTATGAGAAGATGAATAGACTTAAAGGAATCCTCCCTGGAGAATTATCGCATCTTTTCCAACATCAAGCAGTTGTGATCACTAAAGAGAACACAGAAAGATTACGCACGAAGATTCAGTTTTCGAAATACAAAATCACGACACACTCTATGGACGATTGAGTGTAGGTCGGCTGAAACAAGGAAGCGCATGGGAAGAATTGCGCCTTGAGGTGGCAACATATTAGGCTGACAAAATCTAATGTAAGCGTTCGATTTCGGAGGCTAGAGACAAAACGGTCGACAGAGTAGGATGCAGTGAGGTATGAGATGTTAGGGTGAAAATGTAGTTCGAGGGGGCCATCCTGTCTAATCAAGTCGAGCTGCGGAAGGACACTCATATCTAGTCAGAGTTGCGGGAAGCACTTATACATTACCAGTTGGCGCCGCACGCATTGCGCGCGCAACACAGATCTGTGGCGAATTTTGATGGTGGCGACACAAAATTTTCAAAATTTGGCTTGATACACTACGAATATCTGATTCTGCGCGTAAATTCTATGCGCTCTTTCTTCGTCAACATTATGCCATTTTCTCGTCCGTTCGCCTTTCTCATATAATTCTCGTGGCGAAGTCGTCTACTTTCGGTGCGGTGCCCTGCCGACCATAGCATTTGGCTTCCCTTCTTTTTCGAGCCGACCTCTACCCCCTTTTTCACGGTCTACTGGGACTCTTGAACCAAATTACGACACTTTGGCAACCCAACTTAAGGTGCGTGGTTCTAACCCAGTGATAGCAGTTGAGCTCTTTCCTCACACAACCTCATAACCCCGTTTTCCCAGCTATCTCTAGGACTCTTTGCAACTGAATTGCGATCCTTTTTGGCAAACTCCGCCAATTGGGTGGCGTGCTCTACCCACTAATACATTTGACCTTCTTTCCTTCGCCTGACTCTACTTCCCTTTTCCCAGCCTCTGGACTTCTTTGGGCGTATTATTCTTA